ACAGTAACTGCCTTATGATTTCACTTATATGTGGAATCTAAAGAACAAAATAAATGAACCTGAACAGAAACAGACTCATAGATGCAGAGAACATTTTCACAGTTTCCAGATAGGAAGGAATTGGGGACATGGGGGACAAAGGTGAAGGGATTAAATACAAATTGGTAGTGACAGAACAGTCATGGAAATGTAAAGTACAGCGTAGAAAATACAGTTAATAATATTGTAATAACTATGTATGTATTGTAATAACTAGGTACTAGATTTATCAGGGTGATCATTTGTAAGTTATATAACTGTCTAATCACTGGGTTGTACACTTGAAACTAACATAATATTGTAACATAAAATATAATTGAAAAATTTTAAATTACTTTAAAAAAAGATCTGATGGGTTAAAACTACATATATACCATACCCATATAATAAAATATCAGGCTACTGCTAAAAAAGTGGAAGGTGTAACACTAAGCAGTGACATGAAAAAGTGACCAAGATTTATTATTAAATGAAATTAATTGAGTTATAGAGTATTTTTTTCACTCATTAGATATTTGAATATCCACTCTGTGTACCAGGTGTTATTTCAGTTAAAAAAGTATGCATTGCAGAATCCATTTGTATGGAAGAAGAAAAACAAATACCATGATGAGACTATGTTCTGCTCTGCCAAGGTTTTTGCTTTTATTTTTATGAATAGAGAACTGTTACAGACAAATAGATATGAGCCTGGATGCTTAGTTCCTAATTGTTCAGTCTATTATTATTTATTGAGAAACTAAAAGCCAAGCACTGTGCTAGGTACTGATATTAAGAAGCAATGAAATATACCCACCCCCAAACCAAATAACTTTAATTTCCACATTTAGAAAGCATAAAATGCCATATACTGTAAATGCGTCATTTAAGAGATATTTCAATGGGGTGGGGGGAGCATCTTAAAATCAATGAAATATGGTAGTAAAACAAGAAGCATACTTACTAAACTTCTACAAATATCAGCAATATCATTCATTAGCTTTGATGTTAACAATCGTAGGAAAAAGTTAGATGCAATCTTATTTGGACTGTGCTGTAATGAAGTCGAACAAGAAAACCAAGCAAACAAAGAAATAAAAACAATTATTCTTGACAAATAATATTTTCTCTATCTTGACAGAAATGTAAATTTTCCTTTACACTGAAAATTCTCTAACATAAAAAGCACAAATAAAGAGTTTGCTATTGGGGAGAAGTGATAAATTACTTCAAAAAAATACTATTGTCTTTCCTCAGATAATAACTACATATCTTTCACTGTGCATAAACAATATTAAAGTAAAATACCAGTTAATGACCCTAAACATAAGCAAGCAAAAACTGTAGCTTACATTTTATTCTTCCTTTTCTCTCCTTCCCCACTTACAGCAAAACATACAATACCACATTACAAAACCAAAAATACATGCTGATAATATTGATATATGATCATGTACTTAACATCAGCTTTCAAAATGTTTCCAATTACTTTTAACAATTTGAACTTGCTCAGCTACCCACTCAGACCCGCTCCAAAACAAAACAAAGACTATACACAGTAGCACTCTTCCCACCAAACGTTATACAGGACGATATGGGCAAAAAGAGAGTAACGTATGTGCTGGACTTATTTATCTTTGTGGTGCTCACTATCCCTGGTATAGTGGTATGCACATCCAACAGCTAGCAGTCAACACATTTTTATTAAATGAACTAGAGGCCCAATGCACGAAAATTCGTGCACTCGGGGGTGGGGAGGTCCCTCAGCCGGGTTTGTGCCCTCTCGCAGCCCGGGACCCCTTGGGAGATGTCCACCTGCCGGCTTAGGCCTGCTCCCTGGGGAACGGGCCTAAACTGGCTGTCAGACATTCCTCTGGCAGCCCAGGAGCCTCGGGGGATGTCCAACTGATGGCTTAGGCCCACTCCCTGGGGGACTGGGCCTAAGCTGGCAGTCAGACATCCCTCTGGAAGCCTGGAAGCCCTCGGGGGATGTCTGACTGACAGACAGACTAAGCCGCATAATGCTGCCAAAGAGGCAAGAGAGGCTCCCGCCACTGCTGCTGTGTTAGCAACCATCAGCCCAGCTTGTGGCTGAGCGAATCTCCCCCTGTGGGAGCGCACTGACCACCAGGGGATAGCTCCTGCATTGAGCATCTGCTCCCTGGTGATCAGTGCACATCACAGCAACCAGTCGTTCCCGGTCATTTTGCCACTAGGGTAAATGTGCATATTACCGTTTTATTATATAGGATGAAAACAGACTGGCAGCAAGTCATGTATGTAGTATATAACAGTGGTAAAATAATCTCTGAAACCTTCCTGAAATGATGAAATTAGTTTCTTGAGAAATTCTGATTATCTGTTGCTTTATTCCTCTGGATACTACCTTTTATTTTCCATTCAATTTAATTTTATATCAGTGTGTAAACTTACAAATGGACCAAAAAAACAAAAAATAATAACACCACCAACCAGTTATCAATCCCCTAGGAAGGCTATACTCTCAAGCAGGAAAGAACATCTTACCTTATTACAGTTACATAAGCAACTTGTACAGAGATGCATCATATTTCTCAATGAAACAATTCTAGATTCCTCATTTATCTTATTTTTAAACAGAGTAACACTTTCTCCAGCACACTGCATTAAAGACTGTTAAAAATAAAGAAGGAAAAATTCAAATTCCAGTTAAAATTAGAGTTTAGTGACTGCTTTTAAAAGTTTTACTTAAAGGTAAAATTAAGTATTTAAGAAGTTATACTTGATTTATAGCATAATTAAAAATTACTAACAATTTTTAAAGGACATATATTATACCATTTGTACAAATCACACAACTGACAGTAGTACCCAGAGATGAAAATAAGCTTCATGCTGAGTGCCTACTTGATAAATACTCTTAGTCAAGGATTCTTTAGGATAACTGATCACAGGAAAAACTTTTTAAAGTAAGATAAAAATAAGAATTTTTGTTCAATTCTTATTAATGTAATAATAAGAATTAATTCTTATTATTCTTAAATTAATTCTTAAATTTTAATGTAATATTATTTCAATTACTGTATTTATTTTTGGCTTAAAATAATTTCACATCTCAAGGAAGGACACACAGTATCATTTCTTCTTGGGCTACATAAATACAAGGGAAATGGTCAACCTACCTAAATATTTGTGTTTTCTAAACATGTATACTAATTTTCCCAGGGATATATTTTATTCAATTAATCCAGAACTTATATAAATTCTCATACCTTGGCTTTCTGGAATAATTCTGATTTATATGCTTCCTCTTCAGTTATTACACCCATATGACAATAGCAACCAAGAACACCCACCAAAAGACTTGAACACCGGACAAGCATTTCTGTATTTGAAGTCTTAAAAGTAAAACACAAATAAAAACATATAGTTTATAAGTAATTTCAGTACACTATGATTATCTATATATATAAAAGCCAAGCGACCGGAATGACAGAACAACTGAACGACCAGTTGCTATGATGTGCATCTGATTGGGACCCCAATCGGCTCCCCGCAACCACCCATGGCCCCTCCCCCTGCTGACCTGGCCCCAAATCGGCCCCCACCACCCCAATCGAGGGTGGGGCCAGCTGGCCAACCTCCTGCGTCCCCTCCCCGCCACCGGCCCGGCCCCGATCAGTCCTGTGCACAAATTCATGCACCAAGTCTCTAGTCTCTTATAAGAAAAAATTTATGTACATAATAAGAAACATTAAATACAGTAAATTGAGTTAATAGTGGCATAATTCTGGTTATCTTTAAAAAACATCTAAGAGATCCTTGAAGAATTATGATAACCAGGATTCTCAAGAAAACAGCGGAAGTATGTAATCATGGCCAAGTAAGACATCTCCACTTAAATTAGCCCAGTGTTCTGCACACAAGGCCCTTCAGTATGTGAAGGAGGAAGAAAAAACAACAACAACCTGATAGGCAAATAAGTGTCTGTAACTCTTAGAACAGACACAGAAATTAGATTCATATAAAGAAATATTAAAATGACCTTGTGAGCTTCTAAAGGACATGAACCTTAACTTATTCAGCCTTTTAGCTTCCATAGACTAACACAAATATTTTTTGCAAGTAGATACTGTTTAGCCAATTTTATAAAATTATTAATGATTTTGCCAAAGTTACACAGAAAAACTAGATTTTTGTTGTTGTTGTTCCTATATTGTAGGAAATGGCATTTTAGGGGAAAACACAGAACACCGTATTACTTTCTAATGAAAGTGGTTACAACTGTGATCCTGAAGAATGTCAGTAACTAAGGTTAAGGCAGATGAAACAGGCACAGTGTCCCTTCTCTGGTTCTTTAGCTCACTATTCCTGGCTAATGAATTCACTCCTTTGAGTAGCTTATAGTTTTTATTTTATTCAACAAATACTTTATCATCTACCATGTAACAAGGCTTGTGGCAGATACAAAAATCAATAAAAATACATATATGCCCTTTAAGGAATTTATAGCATGGTTTAAGAGGTATTTGTGTATAAAATATATACACAAATTATGGTACAAGGAAGATGCTAAGTATCCTTTCAAAATAGAAATATTAAGTATTATGAAAATCAAAAGATGAATTATTATGGCTGAGATTATCTAAAAAAGGCTTTAGTAAGGATTGTGACATTCAGTTTCAATTATATTCTTTGGTGTCATAACAGTTCCCTCCACAAAACTGAGTCACTTTTTCATCAAATTGCTCTACTCAAAACCATTACTATTATTAGCCATAAACCCACCCAAAGAATTCTACTTCTATGGTGTTTACCGGAGTTCTTCGTACAAAGAGTATCAAATTATTATTCTTTGATTTTCCTTTTTTCATACTGTTTTCACTATTAGCTGACATGTGTTGTCACTTTGCATTTAAAAGGAAATTTCTCACTATTCTTAGTGCCTTTCCTACCTATTTCTCCTTCCTAAACAGTCTACAAAGTGGAATGAAATATGGGCCGTCGTTATTTTTAAAGATCTCACCTCAGATGAATAGTTATTTAGAAGCTGTTTTGACAATCCCAGAAGATAGCGATCCAGTGATTCCTTGAGATTTGGGTGGACAGAAAAGCCTCTACTAGATTGGTGCTTTTCTATTGCACATTTTTCCACAACAGCTAAAAAATCCATCTTGTCAAAAGTTGTCTGAAGAAATAGTTCTTCAACTGCTGAGAATGAAGGCTCTTCTTTCTCATTTTGATGCTGTTCACTTAAAGAAAGTAAGATCTTTTATTTATAATTAAACTACCTAATATTTCATCTTCATATAACAGCAATATAATACAAATGAAAATATTAACTTATTCAAAGACTGTTTATACAAGTATTAAATTATTCTTTTAAAGGCTCCTCTTTGGAATTTGATACCTACTTGAACCAAATTTCATTATTCAAGCAACAAATTTTACTAACAGATGCACAGAACAAAATACAAATTTCAATCTCAAAGAAAATTCAGAAAGTATTAAAAAGAAAACACTAATAACACCAGATATAAATATGAAAATAACATTATAAAGCATTTCCTTTTTTTAACCTTTGATTTCTCCAAAATGTAGATTTTTTTTTCATCTTACCCCTCTTGAGGGAGATCGAAAATCTTCATGCCAGTCATAGTAGAAAAAAAAACAACAACCCTTGAGTCCATGAACTAAAATGAGGCTTTAAAATTTATTTTTGTTTTCACTTTCTTCAAATATCATTGCCATATTTTATCATTCATTGTTGAAGGTCACATAGTCAGATTTTTTTCTTTTCTTTTTTTATTTTTAATGACTATTTTTTTATTTTGTTTAGATTTTTCTTTTAATTGATTTTTAGGGAGAGGGACAGAGAGAAATATTGATGTGTGAACAAAACATTAATCAGCCACCTCCTGCCAGGGATTGAACTCACAACCTAGGTATGTGCCCCAACTGGAATCAAACCAGCAACCCCTTGGTGCACTGGACAATGACCAACCAACTGAGCTTATATATTATAAGAAACATTTCCCTAGGTAACAGTTGCGATTTTTTAGTTGACCAATTTAGTTCAACATTTCTAAGATGTAATTAAAGATATAACTTAAAAACACACACAACTCTATTAGATAACATACCATTCTGGCACACTCTGGAAAAAATTCATTGCAGCTTTACAGTTTTTCATAGTGAGACTCACAAGAATTTTCTCCAGTGCAAGATGAGGAAAATTACTATAAAGGAAAATAAAAATGTTCACTTAGAACACCAAAGCCATTTAAAGTATTCTTTAAACTTAAACATCAATGTCTGACTTTAGGATATACCTCTAAAATTTGGATCCAAAATTAAAATTGCTTTCACTTATACTGAATGTCTTAACATCTGAA